GCGGGGGGGGGGACAGAGACCCAGAGATAGGGGAACAGGGACCCAGGGGGAAGGGCAGAGAGGCCCAGAAAGAGAGCAGGGGAAGTGGAAGAAGAGGTACTTAGAGGGAGCAATGGGCGTGGTGCCCACATTATGGGGTTATGGGATCGGGTAGTCACGGAGGCCATGGCATGGAGGTCAGGCTGCCAGGAGGGACCAAGTGGGAGATGATACAGAAAAAGATGGAGAGAAAGACCCAGCGAGAGACAAACAGGGAGAGCTCTGGGGACAGATGGGAAAAGAGCTGGCACTGGACTGAAGGTGGGGAGAGAGAGGGGGAGACAGAGCCGGATGAGAGGCAGAGAGGTGTGGGCCTGGCTCTCAGGACCAGAATGGAGACACGGAGTGGGGATATTTGGAACTGGATTCCCAACCAACCCGGTAATCCCGAGACTGCGCCAATCCCAGTCTGGGACTGTCAGGCCTAAAACAGGACAAGTCCCACGCACACCGCGACACCTTGGTCCCCAGGTGGACCCGGTAACACAGGCCAGCATGGGGCCTGCAGATTCCCAGGTCCCCAGGGCCTGTTAGTGCCCCTGCCCTGGGAACCAGGCTGCTCGAAGTCTTTTGCGTTCAAACCCCCAAATATTCCCAGGCTAAAGGTTAATTTTTGTTCCACGTTCCAAATCTTCTGACATGTGCATGGAGCAATCTCAGAACCGCACTGAGCTCCAGGGGACAATCTGTCTCATTTTGCCTCTGGAAACGCATTGCAGTGACACCTGTGACCCTGTCTGCACATTAGGAGTCTCTAGGGAGCTTTTGAAGTCCCTTCGAGGTCCAGGCCCCATCCCCAGGCGGTATGGCTTTAGTGGGCCAGGCGGGGCTCTGGGAGTTTCAAAAGCCCTCCAGGGAAACCCACAGCCTCCCCTGGGCTGGCCTGTCCATCTCCAGTGCCTGCGGTTGTGAAAACACTGCCCTGAGAGCTCCCAGGGGACCCAGAAACCCAGCACTAAGTGGTTGAAAAGCCTGGGGGACCAAAGATCAACTTCTTTGTCAATAAATTGTTTTACAAACACCGACAGCCAAGATTCACTGGGGATCCAGCAGGAGTCTGATTCTAGTCTGGTGCCCTCCCCCTCCCCCCTAGCTTCCAGTTATAGCCACTGAGGATGGGAGGGGATAGCAGTAGGGGGCGGGAGGTGGAAAGGAGACAGGCTCTAGTAGAGAGGAATTTTCAGGAGGCTTTCAAGAAGGGCTGACACAGAGGCGGGAAAGGACACTCCAGGCAGAGGGCACAGCATGTGCAAAGGCACTGGGGCATGGCATTAAAAAAAAAATCTCTGCGTTACATGTGGTTAAAAATATGCCATGGAGGGGGCTTAGGAAGTGGATGAATTTTTTTTAAAAAAAGAAAGAGGTGAGGGAGCCAGGTCACACAGCCTCAATGCCAGCTGAGAGGCTGTGACTATTGTCCGGGTGTGGGAGGGGCATGGAAGGGCTGTGAGCAGGGAGAGAGGAACTCCTGTGAAGGGTGGAGAAGAGCCAGGGGCCTGGGGCGGGCCCAAGGTAGCCCAGGCAGGGAGGTGGGGAGGCGAGGGGGTGGGAGCAGCAGGGCCCCTCCCCCTTTCCCCACCCTCAGAATCCTGGTCTGGGGGAACCCACTCTCCCCGAGGCGCGGGACCAGCTTCTGGCTGGGAAAGCAGTCCGACACTGCCCCCACGTGGCGACTCGAGTATTGCAACCAAGGTCTCCTCTAGGTAGGACGGCGGAACCGGGACGCTCCAGCGTCAGCGGCACCGGTACCAAGTAGGCGGGAACGGGCCCAAAGTGTTGGTAACCCCCCCCCTCCAGCCAAAATGGTAGTAAAACTATGGTTTCATCCCTAGTTAGAATTTGCTAGGCCTTTCCCAGGAAACCCAGCATGTTTGGCCACCTTATTAAGAAGCCGCCTTCTCAGATCTCTAGTTGAAATGAAATGGTTTCTTTTTTAAAAGAGAAAGTGGGTAAAACTCAACCAAAGGCTGAGGTATCACCCAGGGAATTCCATGTGCTGGGGGTGGAGGCAGGGAGTGGGGAGGAGCCTGTTACCCAGGGAGCCCGTAACAGACTCTGTCCTGGGTGTCTGGGTGTCCTGGGTGCAGGCAGGGGCATTGACAGTGGGTGTTGAAGGTTGAATAGAAGTTTGCTGAGAAAAGAGAAAGATGTATTGCTATAACAAAAAAGATGATAACTTAAAGACCATTTGCCTCTTACAACTTCCATTCTCATCTTGGATCTCAGGCTGTCCTTACTGTGGCCTTCTGGGACCCAGGGGAGAAAGATTTTTTAATCTTTGTCTGACTGATAAGAAAACCAGGACTCAGAGAGCAGGAATACAATCTGGCAGGTGGCGAGTCGGCACTGCTCTTTTTCTCCTCTATGCTCTTGCATCCAAAGTTGGAATACCCTTCTCCCTGTCTAAATACTGATAGACTCCTACTCATCCCTCAAAACCCAGCTCAAATTCTGGGCCTCTCATTTCAAACCTGAGAGTATGGGCCCCCAAGCCCCTCCTCCCTCAGACCCAGGAGCCCAGGCCCCCAGCCCCTCCTCCCTCAGACCCAGAGCCTGGCCTCTAGTCCCCTCCTCCCTAAACCCAGGAGTCCAGGCCCCCAGCCCCTCCTCCCCAGACCCAGAGCCTGGCCCGCAGACAGAGCTGGGGTGGAGCTGGCTGTGCTGATTGAGTCACATTTATTTGGTCTCAGAGGCCACAGTCATGGTGGGCCAGAGGCGGGGCTCTTGGGTTAAGCTGTCCCGTTTCTTCTCATCGCTGAGCCTGAGAGAGGAGGAGAGACATGGGGAGGAGAGGCCAGGGCGCTAACGGGGGACCACACCGACGGAGGCCTGGAGATCTGGAGCCGCCCTCTCCCTCTGCTCACCTTGTTGAAGAAGTAGATGGAGGCCAGGATGGTGAACACAGCGATGGCCAGTGTTACGTTCTGTGGGGCGGGAGTCAGAGGTCAGGGCCCACCC